AGCCCCTGAGTTATTTACTGTTATCTCCCAGAATGTATAAGGCTTGCATGTTCAACTGAAGGGTGAGATTCATGAAGCCAAGAAATATTTATAGAGCATTCCATAAGTGCCAAGTATTCGTCTTAATTTTTTAAAAAGTATTATTTATTTATCATTACTATTATTTTAAAATTTTATTTAGACACTCACCAGAGGGTGAAAGAGAGAGAGAGGGAAAGTGAGAGGGCATGGCCATGGGGTGCAGGAGTTTACCCTCGGTCAGCCATGCTCTAATCCAGCACTCCAGCCACCATGCCACTTACTGGCCTGCCAGATACTTTTCTTTTTCTTTCTTTCTTTCTTTTTTTTTTGTTTTTGTTTTTGAGAGATTTTTGCTATAGGGTCATAATGGTGAAGGTTTACTTTTCTTTTCTTTTCTTTTCTTTTTTTGGAGAGGTTTTTTTGTTTGTTTGTTTGTTTGTTTTGCTATAGGGCACGTGCACTCACCAGAAAGACAGAGACAGAGAGACAGAAAGTGAGAAATAACTGCCCCAAGGGCGATAGCCACACTGCAATCCCTTCTCCTCCATCCTCCTCTTGGGATCTTGGACACGCACACACATGCACCCGGCATGAGTTTAAGTCGCCGGGTCCAGGACTCGAACCGCAGTCGTCTACATGGGAGTCTAGCGACATAGCCATTATGCTAACTGCTGGTCCCCCTGCTACATACTGTTCCGAGTATTTCAGATACATCAAAGAATTCAGAAACTAGTAAACATGTCCACACAGGGCTTACATTTTGGAAAGGGGAAAACAATACCTTAACTAGTAAATGTTAAAAGTTGGTATATGTTACAGAAAAGACAGAGTAAGGTGACAACATTTTTATTGACCATGAGATCTCTTATTTTGTGAATGGCTTTTTCATACTTTTTGCACAGTTTCTATAGGCTATTTTTTTTTCTGCTTATAACATTATTATTGGGGACAGCAGGTGGCCTTGGTGGTTAAGGTGCTGAACTTTCAAATGGCTGACTGCAGTTCATATTATGGACCTGGTGGCTTGAAAACCCTGTGGATGCATATGTGTGCATGCCCAAAATCTTGGAAAGAAATGGAGAAGGGATTGTAGCATGGCCATCCTCCTGGGGAGGTGATTTCTCACTTTCCCTCTCACTGTCTATCTTTGTTTATCTCTGATAAATGCACATGCCCTATGGCAAAAATCTCAAAAAAAAAAAAAAGAAAGAAAAGAGAATATATTATTATTTTCTTTAATCATTGTAAATATCTAATTTTGTGAAACAGATTTATTTTTCTCTCACTTTGTATAGGGCAATTCTTGCAATTAGGGGATTGTATATTTTTATATAGAATATTTTATTCTTCAGTACTTGTGCATTTTCTGAGTATAAATAAAATCTTCCCCATTAATAGAATAAAAACTATATTCTCTCCCTTTTTACTATAAAATTTTTACAAATGCTGCTTTAAAAGAGTAGTTATTAAGCATTTCATTCTTGAAATTTATTTTGTATGTAAGGTCTAATGAAATGTTTAAGATTATTTTGAATATATCAATAAGCAGTTAATCCAGTAGCATTTATTGAATGAAACATTATTCCCATTATTCCTCTGAAATGTGACCTCTGTTATGATTCAACTATCCTATGTATAAATGTATTTCTGGGATATTCTGATTGTTCATTGTTATATTTGATAACTCTTTTTCCATTTTGGCACCTCTTAAAGACTATTTCCCAATGCCGGGGGCATAGCACAATGGTTAGAGGAGTTTGAAACCACAGGGTCAACCAGGGTTTGAATTCTGAAAAAAAAAAAAAAAACAATGAAGAGTAGAAAACATGCTGAGAATGTGTACATTCTTGACCCCCAAACTAACAAGACAGAGAAAGAGAAAAGTAGGATTGGCAGTAAAACCATACCTCACTGCAGGGAGGGGTACTTAACCTTTCTCATTTTCTATGTAAAGGAACTTAAAGGTAATTAAAAAAATATATAATTACTCAGAGCTGCCAAAGGATCCTGTTAAAATATAAAATGAATCATGTTGATAGTCTGCTATAAGTGCAAAAATGGCTCCCATCATATTCAGTTACAAGCCAAATTCCATTGTTGACCCTACAGGACTCTAACCTATGTACTTCTCTCTGTCTCCATTATCTCTCTGAAATAACTTCCTACTGTTGTCTACCTTGTTCAATCAGGTCCAAACATGCTGGCATCTTCCCTGCTTCTCAAACTTACCCAGACTACTCCTCCTTTGGGGCCTCAGCACTTTCTGTCCTTGTACCAGGGATGTTCCTTTAGCAGCCAGCAACAGGGCTGTTTCTCTCATTGCCTTCAGGTCTTTACTCAAAAGTCAAGTTCTCAGGAGAACTTCCCTGGCCACCCTATCTTTCTAATTTCAGCCGCCTCCCAGGAATTTGATTTCCCCATTTCTTGCTTTATTTTCTTCCTTCTTAGTGCTTGTCATTATGAAAAGACTTAGTATTTACATATTTGTCTTGACTATTGTCTGTGTCCCACAAAAGAAAAAGAAAGTTCAAGGGTAAGTTATTTATTTATTTATTTTAAATTCATTTTTATTTTGTTTTGTTTGTGCTCCTGGTGTTAATTACTATATCATCAGTACCTGTGCCTGGAAGAAGTGCCTGGGAGAGAGAGCTCATCCAAGTAAGTTGGATGAAGAAAAAATAAAATTACAAGGCAAATTGGGCCAAAGCAAGTTAAAGGGGGCAGTCTTCCCTGAGTCTAGCCCCAAAGCACAAATGCCTTCAGGGGACAACCATGAATTTTATTAGAGTGAAACAGTCCAGCATGGACTGTGGCCAACTGGAGAGGGCATTCTGAGTCTAAAACGTGCTGAACCCTACCTCAGACCAAGCTGCTTCTATCCTTATTGGAATGTGGGCCCTAATCCTCATGAGTTTTTGTTTTCAAGAGGAGCCAGAAATATGGATATTCACTATGCAATATTTTCCAAATATCTAAAATATCTAATTTAAAAGAGAAAAACAAAAGCACAGTGATCAAACAAAACATGACAGCTGACTGAAATTGGTCCCTGGATAGTCTGCTAGTGTTCACTGGACTAAATTTTATGATTTACAAAAGAAAATCAATCCCTGCTATGGTGGAGTAGGCTTGCCTTGTGCAATTCTTTAGGTAGAAAACCTCAGGTCATGGTGGAGGAATGAACTGGAGCTATCATCTTTTTTCAATTCTTTGAAACTCTTTCTCTTATCCACTGTTTGTGGAGTTAGCCTGGCCAGTAGAGAGAGTCACCAGCACTCTTTCTTTGAGGGAGGGGGCATAGTTTAGCGGGAGTGGTGAGAGGGATTTTTGGAATAGGAGTGGGGAAAGACAAGGAGAAGAAAAGGTCTCAGACACGTGTAGTAGATACCATAGTCTGAGGAACTTTACTGAGATTGTCACTTTTTCTCTCCACTAGTCATGACACCCACCATATGCACTATACAGCTAAAGGGGTTAGTGATAAAGAGTCACAACTCCCAGCCTAACTGCCCCGGGATATCTACCTCATCTGGGAACAAAGAGCTGCACAAACATCATCATTCGTCACAGCACCCAGTGAGCTTGGGGTGGGCAGGACTGCTGCCAGAAAGTATCTGTGGGGGGTAAATAGCCACCAGCTTTGGGGGTGCACTAGCCAGAATGGGGATTCTGGGGATAGCAGGCCTCCCTTTGGTGAAACATTGGTAGGAGTTACCTGAGTGTTTCAGGTAGCTACTGAAAGAAGCATATGTAGTCGTCCATTTCCCGTGCCCTGGAGAGAGACAATAAGCTCAGTTCCCTGATGTCCAGCTTC